TTTTTTTTTTTTTTAACTTTATTTCCCATTTCTTGGTTGATTTCATGCTACCCATGTGGGCAGTGCCGTCAGGGGGTTTTTTACCACAAATTTTCCACACACACATGGATGTGTGTGTTTGAGTGTGCGAATATGTGGCTAAAACTCCATGGGGGCGCGGTAGCATCGACTTTACCCCGTTTCTTTTTTGTTCAAATTGTAGGAACAGTTGGATCAAAAATGAAAAGTGACAAGTATCAGAAAATCTTGAATAATTTCATTATGCATTATATGAACAATGTATGAGAAGACTACGAAAAAAAAGGCAGAAATGTCCATTCTGTTTAGATAATCTGTACAAAGATTACACTACTCTATGAAGGAAAAGTCTCTAAGATAGATTGAAGCAAGAATTAAGTTTCTTCTCTAATTATTCACACGCCACAATTTAATATTTACGTTACACAAAATATTCTACTTTTACTATCATTATTCTGATATAATTTGTATGTAAAAATAATCTAGTTATACATATTATTTTACACAACAAATTTTCACAATCATGACAGGTTTTTTATTGGACAAAAATGAATTCCAGCTTCGCTAACTTGGGCTATGCCTCGAACTCTCTTTTTTATGACTGAACTTCGCTTCGCTTCGTTTGTTGAGTCGGAATCTGAATTCTCTATAATATTTTAATTTTTAAAAAGTTCGAATTTATTTCATAAACTTCTTTAAGTAACTTTTCAAATAAGCTCATTGAAATTTTTATTTCAACTAGTTTATCAGCTAATTTACCAACATTTTTATCATATAAACTAGCTTTTCAGCTATAAGTCATAAGTTATAAGCTCAAAAATTACTGATAAACTATAAGCTAACTTATCAGCTAGTTTTACCAAACATAACCTAAATAGATATCGTGTGTACACGTGTGAGCATAGTATGTGGTACATAATTTTTCTAAAAACTTTGACACTCCAACAAATCTCAGAAATTACAAAAACATATAACGTAAAGTAAAGAATAAGAATAAACAACAATGTGTAAACTAATAAAATGGACAACCAGAAAGATATGGCCAAAGGTTGTTCACTTAAGAGACAGGGATGATTGTTCTAGCAAAGGTGGTCAAAGCAGGTAAGAATGCCTTCATTGTAAGCAAAATGTGGATCAGAAGTGAACAGGCTCTCGAAAAACCATAGCAACTTAGGGAGGCTCTAATGAATACTAAAGTAGCAATGACAAAAGCTTTAACGAGCATATACATTACGTACGAGGCCAGAAAGTTGTGGACCTCATTAAAAGACCCCTATGATTCATATGAACATGGTAAGAGATATGATAGACTGCAAGCATGCAGCAACTACACAAACAATTCCACCAGAAAATTTTATATAAAAAGCCAACCATAAAAGGAAATCTTAGAACTCAAACTTCCTTATCTCCAAGAGAATCAATCTGATCAAAAGAAAGCAATTTTGATTTTTGAGAAATGAACTTGAGCCCTTCGTTTTCAATGTGGTAGGATAGGAATGCATTACCAGGTAAGGGGCAAAAATTTGAAAAAAAAAAAAAAGAAAGGATCCATAACAAGTGAACATTTAGCCACAAACAGATTTACTTGAACAGGATAAAATATTCATATCCAATAATTTTGCATGAATACGATTAGATTATGAAGAAACATGGAATTCCTTTTGTCACCGGGTACTGGAAGGTCTTGCAGAGCCTTACCATTTAGGAGAATTATTTCATAGCAGGAAAATATAAGTCCCAGAATAAGTAACTGGTAGTATTTGCAAGTTGAACCAAGACTTGAACTAGTTAGTAGTTAGAACAGAGTATTTGGCACAAACTCTAAAAGTACTCACTCAAAGCAAACTAAAAGAAAAAAAAAAAAAAATCAGAAATTGAAAGAACCCCCAAACTAAGAATTTTAAAAATATTTAGAAGTACCAAGTTCATATCCATAAATCACCTTTTCTTGTAGCCGAAAAAATAATAGTAACCACATTTTTAGTTATTTGAATAGTAATACTCTCCGTTAGTAGCACCAACGCAACATATAACATATTTACGAATCGAGATAGCTCACACCAAGTCCTGAAGGTGCTCCACCTAGAGGAAAACCTAGTGATCCCCAATCCACAAAAAGTCTGGTGAAAATTATATACATAAGCAGTAATAATTGTTCGTTAGTCTTAAACTACAGTGCGAGCCTTGTTTCCCAAAAACCTCACACTAGTTACACCTTAAAAATTACTGAACTTTGTGTTAGTCCCCATGCAAATCACCACTAAACTGTTGAAAACTAACAATTAACAATACCTAAGCACAATTAGAATATATTTCAAAGTCATCCAACTTCAGGAATTTAAACTACAATTGCCCAACCAATATGAACAATCATAACAAAACGACTTACTATCCCAAGAAACGGCTCATCCCCTCTCACAGTAATGGCCAATATACTCTACCATACCAATATAACAATCATAAATTACTGATGTTATACGCCAGCACAGAATAAAACATCTTCGGTGGATCGAGTGACGAATTTCAGAAAGAAAAACAGAGTAAGAAAAACCCTAAACCCATTCCGACAAGATTTTGTTTAAAAAAAAAAAAGTAGAAATCGGAACAACATTAACTCTCACCCAAATGGCAAAACAATCTGAATTATGACTTCTTCCTGAGACGCTTTCTCAGCTTCCTCAACTTATGCTTGTTCATCTTCTTTTTCCTCTTCTTCTTCACACTATCAGCTCGTATGATGATATTGGAATTGTCCGGCGCCATTTCCTCGTCCATCTCAGGATTTCTCGATGGGGTCTGAGAAAGCGGGCCGAGAAAATAGCCGAACGGGAAACTAGGGTAAACGACCGGGCCAAATGAGTGATTTGGTTCCAAACATTTGGTTTCGGGTGGGTTCGAAAATGTCGTCGTCTGATTAGGTTGGGGGATTTGGATCAATGCGTCATAGGTTTGCCGGAGAAATGTGGGGATTCTTGAGGCAGTAGTATGGTTTCTCAGTAGTTTCCGCAGAGCTGGAGACGCCATTGAATTTAGGGGTTTTTTTAGGGTTTGGACATTGGAGCTTGAGTCATGGTGGAAATGGTTCGTCGAGTGTTTGGATCAAACGCGATTTGGTTTTATTTCGTTTAAAACCGATTTGGTTTGATCTACCACATAGATAGGAGTGACCATATGAGAGCTAAATCGGAAAATCAAGCCGAATCGGTGTATTTGGTGTGGTGTGGTTCGATTTTTCAAATCTCATTTTGTGGTGCGATTATGATTTTAAAAATAATTAATTGCTATTTAAACATTTACTTTTTCGCGTTTGGTAATTTAATCTAAACTTTTGGATAATTGCAAATAATCCTGACTTTGATTTACTTTGCAAAACGAACTTAATTTTTGTCGGAGAATCAAGAAATGTCAGCGTGTCCGGCTGATTATATCCATGTTAATCTATGGTACATTTTCAAAATTTTAATTGAGGTTGATTTTTTAATTTTTTTCCTAAATTAATAATTCTACATATGAGCCATGTCATCGCCACATAAGTTTTTAGTCACAAAAGTTCGCCACTCAATAAACTGAAAATCCAACGTGGATATAAGCAGCCGAACACGTTGGCATTTTTCGAATCTCTCACGAAGATTAAGTTCGTTTTGCAAACGTAAGTCAAAGTTAGGATTATATTGTAATTACCTAAAAATTTAGATTAAAATGCTAAACGCGAAAAAGTAAATGTTTAAATAGCAATTAACCCTTTAAAAAAAAATAAAAAAATTCTGTGCGATTTGGTTTTATAAATGAATGATTCGGTTTTAACCAAACCACACCGAATAAAATTTATGTTTTTTTTTTTCACGAAACGATAGAGAATATATATAAACTCAAAACGAACAATGTTCGAATAGTGCAGGCCAAACCCGAAGAAACTAAAAATGAGAGGACACGCCCAAGGCGGCCTAGAACCTCAACAAAAACTACAAATAGAAGAAACAAACCACACTCCACTGCCCAAAGGCCT